GTAATCCTAGCCACTCAGGAGTCTGAGATCTAAGGATCTAGGTTCAAAGCCAGCCTCGGCAGAAAAGTCCGTGAGACTCTTATCTCCAATTAGCCACCAGAAAACCAGAAGTGGTACTGAGGCGCAAGTGATAGAGTGCTTGCCTTGAGCTAAAGAGCTCAGGGACATAACCCAGGCTCAGACAGAGTTCAAGCCCCAGGACTGACAAAAAAATAAGAAATTAATTAAATAAATAAGATAAATCCAGAATAAAAGAAATGTACTCATTACTTGATTGTGTAACTATAACCCCTCTATACAGCACCTTTATAATAATAAGAAAAAATTATTTTTAAAAAAGGGAGCCAACATATAGTTGTACCATAATTAAAGCAAAACGAGTAGGTAAATTTGGGGAGCTAAGTAGAGGGCACATAAACAGAAACCCTGGTATAGTTTTAGGGTGTTTTGTTTTTACCTAAAATATTATAATGCCAAATATTTCCTGATTATACCTGACAACATTACACCTAGCAAACACTGCAGACTATTTGGGTAAATCATCACCATTCAATTAGTATCACTATTTAGTAGGCTAACAGAAGACCCCTCAAACACAGCTGTTGATAGTGTTCTGATAAAAAGGCTTAAGCACATGAATGAACCCTCACCAACTTAATAAATGTAATTCACTGGCAATTTGCAGCTATATTAGAATATCAAGGTCATATTTCAAAAAAGCAAGCCAATAAGATAATAGCCATACAGAGGGTGCTGGTGGCTCACACCTGTAATCCTAGCTACTCAGAGATTGTGATCTGAGTATAGTGGTTCAAAGCCAGCAGAGGAGGAGAGTCCATGTGCCTCTTATCTCCAACTAACCACCAAAACCTCAGAAGTGGTGCTGTGGCTCAAGTGCCTAGGCCTTGAGCATAAAAGCTGAGGCCCTGAGTTCAAGCCCCAGGTCCCCTCAGGGAATGAGGTTGTTTGGAATACAGTATAAACATGTATAGGGATATTAACAATGAACCTCCCTTCATAACTAATATAAGCTCATCTGAAAAAGAAAACTAGACTTCATTCTTATAAACTCAATTCTGATTGCTTTTCTCTATTAATTGTAAATATTCAACTCTGGTGTGGTGTATTTTCAGATATGAAAATATTCACGTAGGTTTGGGATTTTGAATTGATGACTATTCACAACATTTGGAAAAGCATACCACATACCAAATAATTCCAGTTACCTAAAAGGGACTGATATGTATTAGGGGAATCTAGACCCTTATCCAACAGAATTGCTTATGGCATGGATGACCCTGTTCTTTGCGTCTTGTGTTTGTTTCCTATAATGCACATGTTATTTAAAAAAGGAAAAGTTAGTCAAGTATCAGTGACTCATACCTGCAATCCTAACTATTCAGGAGGCTGAGATCTGAGGACAGTGATTGTGAGTAAAGCTCATGACACTGCTTACCTCCAAGTAAGCACCAAAAAAATCTGTAAGTGGAGATGTGGCTCTAAGCAAAAAAAGCCTTAAGCAAAAAAGCTCAGGGATAGCCCCTATACCCTAAGTTCAAGCACCAGGACAGGTACACACACACACAGGTACACACACACACACACCACACAAAAAAGAAGGAAAGAGAGAAAAAGAGAAAGAAAAAGGGGGGAGGGTTTACAAGTATAAAATACCCTACATGTTTCAACAAATGGGTAGTTTGACTCTTCAATCTAATGCCCACCCCTTTGGTGGTACCAGGGTTCTATCTTAAGGGTCTCAGGCTCACTAGGCAGGTCTTACACCACTTGAGCCATACCCCCAGCCCTTGATTTTTTTAAAGAAGACTTTTTCACACATTACATCTACACTCAGGCTTTTCAAAAAGTCAAAGCTGGGGTCGTCCTAAGTGTACTCCTGAAATCCCAGTACTTAAGTCAGGAGGCAGGAGGATGACAACTCTGAGTACATAGTGGGGTCCAGTCTTGAAACAAGAGACAGACAAAAAGCAAAAGAGAGGGGGCAGAGGGAGAAAAGAAGGGGAAAAAGAAGTTTTAAAATTCAAATAATATAAGAAGTCAGTCCCGGAAAAAAGTAACTTGGTGTCTAGCAAAATTCCTCGCTACCTCCCCAACTTGATCTCCAACTGCTCTCCCTTCAGGCACTCGGTGCTGACAAACCAGATTACCTGCTAGCCTGGTATGTGTTCCCCTCCACCTGAGATTTATGACTCACATTCCCCACCAGGAGAAACCTAACCAGTTCTTCAAGGTCCAGGGCAAACACTCTCTCTCTCTCTACATCTCTTCGCCAGTCCACGTCCCTGAGCAGAACTGATTACTCACTTCAGTGTTTCACCCATAACAGTACATAAGACATGTCTGTCTTGGACAAGGATGTTGTCATCCAACCACTCCCCTCAGCTTACCCCAAGAATAGCGTACAACTAATAGCAGCCGTTGAGTGCTCACTTTAGCATCCATTTTAGTACCATTTGATCCAAGTCGTTACAAACATTAAGTCCGCTCTGGAGACAAGGCAGAAGGAGGTATCATTTCTTCCAAATTCAGACCTAATTCTTTAGTTAACTAGGTCTCAATAACACAATACACAACACTGAAGTCGCAAATGGAACTTTTCCACTCATTACCTATTCAAGAACTAGTCAACAATGCTTGCAATCCCATGTAAAGTGTGTGAGTAATTCGTACTAGAAGAACTTATGGTTCTAAAGCCAAGAGTACTGAGACAGTGAAAGACCTCCACAAGGTCACAATGCTTTTCTGAACCAGAAAGTGACTCTACCAGCTGATATGAAGAATCTGAACATTAGTAACTTCAAAAGCATCTGGTGGGGCCTGGGGTGAGTAAACACTCAAATATTTAAATGAATAAAGATGGTGAAAAAGTTTTGAATTGTGACAGTTTAAAGAAACACAGCGTAAAGCAAATTAATCTTTAATCAGACAGAACACATCAGATTATTTTCAAACTTAACCGTGCAGTTAAAGCAATTTAAAAAAAAAGTTTGGGAACACACATACTAACAATCAAAACTCGTGCTCTCAATAAGAGCTCTGCTGACCAGAAACTCATCCACAGGAGTCACTTTTTCCTTCTTTATTTGTTCCCTGAGGCCCAATAGACTCAACATTATAGCTGCCCCTATTTTCTAATTTCAACATGCATTTAAGATAACGCTTTTGTTTCATTTACAGCTCACATGCTGCTGACACAGCTGCCCCTTCTTTGTAATAAACACAGGGCTTCTATATTTAAAAATACAGTGAAACTTTGTTATAACATCCCCTCCTCAATCGCGGGCCAATTTTCTCTCCCAAGCTCCACCCCCACCCCAGGACTTTTTAATCCAAGCTGGCGCTCCAACAGCCTTTAGGGAAGTCAGTTTTCTTCTGGAGAGACAGCTCAGCACAGAGCTGTTTTTCTTCTCCGCAACAAGTCATGCGTTTTCGAAGCCGGAGGTTAATGTGCGGTGGGGTTTTTTTTGGGGGGGGGAGTGATACCCTCCGAGGCAGGGGTACTTTCGGAGTGCGATCAGCGAGCGCCACGGGTGTCACGCTGGCTGACACCACGGGCGGGTGGGGCGCACGCGGCCTGGCGGGGTTCGCAGGCGATCGCGCCCCTCCCCGCACCCCAGCCCTGCCCTCTACCCCCCTCCCGCAGTGCAGGAGGGGAAGGGAGAAGAGGAGGGGTCTCCTCTCGGACGGACGCACCGATAAGGAGAAGAATGCCGGCCGCCCCGGGCTGGTCGCACCCACCCCGAGTTCCTCCCCTTCTCCGCAGAAGGGGACCGAAGAACAGGGTGTGGGCCCGGAGGGGGGGCCGGGCAGGAGATAACGTCCCGACAGAGTTCAGCTTCTCCACCACGCTCGGAAAACTACGAGCCGAACGGAGGGGCGGGGAACAGCACCCGAGGTGAAACTCCTTCCCGTTCTACCCCGCCCCATGCACCCCAGCACCCCAGGGCTGGAGGGGGGTGCCCCCCAACCCAGTAACAACTTCATAAAAGCTTGTGTTCCAAGAATTTCACCTTCTCCGGGGCAGAGGGAAAATTAAGTACATCAACTTCTATGACTTTTTTAATTACAAAAGAGCTCACACACACCACGTTCCCATACCGGGAGTCGAACCCGGGCCGCCTGGGTGAAAACCAGGAATCCTAACCGCTAGACCATATGGGAAGTGCTACGAAAAGCAGCGCCGTCGCTCACCTGACAAGCGTGAAAGCCACGGCCGCCTCGGCTCCGGCGCTGGCCCTCGCCGCCGCCGCCGCCGCCGCCGCTGCTGCCGCCG